ACCTTGGAAGGCTCCAGCTGGACTCAATGTGAAGACCTGGATTTGAAGGAGCTGGAGTCCGAGGAAGGCCTCAACATTTTGTTGAAGCGCCTGGACCGCCAATGGTCCTACGACGACAAGGTCGAGATGCCGAACAACTTCGAGGCATTCTTCTTCAAGCTCAAGCGCCGACAGCACCAGACCCTCCTCGAGTACACCACCGAGTTCCACCAGGTGTTACGCCAGGTGACCAAGCACAAGGTCGACCTCCCCGAAGAGGTTACAGGGTGGATGCTGCTCAAACGAGCAGGTCTGACACGTGAACAAGAGCAAATGGTGCAGACCCAGATCGGGTCGGTCCTGACCTTGGGCGCAGTTGAGCAATCCCTCTTCCTGTTGTTCGGACAGGATTACCAACAGGTTCATGTTCCTCATCACCTCCGCCGACAGCAGCAGCAACTTCGATGGAAGAAACCCCAAGGCATCCACATGGCCTGGGATGATGAAGCTGAAGAGTTCTACGAGGCTGAGGAGTCCTACTACATGGACGCTGATGAGGAAGGCGACCTCCAGGAACCTGATGAATGGTTTGAGCCCGAACTTCCTGATGGTACATTCTATGAGGAGACCATCGACGACACCGAGAACATCTATGACACAGAGGAGTTCGATGAGGTCTACTCCACCTACGTTGATGCCAAACAAAGGCTCAACCAACTTCGCCAAAGCCGAGGATTCTACCCAGTGGTGGCAGTTGTTGACGGAAAAGGTCAAGCCCCACTAGTCGCACAAAACCCAAAGGGCTCGGCAAAAGGTGGAAAGACCAAGAACAAGTCCAAGGGCAAGAACAGTGGTTCCAAAGGATCCTCAAAAGGTCCAACCGGCAAGAACCGAGCCAAGGCAGCTCTCACCTGCCTCCGATGTGGCAAAGCCGGACACTTTGCAGCCAACTGCCCATCCGTCCAGCAGACAGGCGGATCTTCTCCGAAGAGACGAGTGATCGACCTCGAAGACCCCATGATCAGCATGGTCATGAACATCGAGCACAACCCCGACGACATGGATGAGGGCGAGGTCACTGCGGACGAAGACATCTTCTACGACGTCGAAGACGCCTATGTGGAAGGTGAAGTGTTGGTTCGAGCCGGAGGCTGGTTGACGAACGAGCCGGACACCTGCATTCAAGACCAAGGCGCAAGCTCATTCTTGATTGGCTCTGAGTACGCCTTGCGCTACATCAAATGGCTTGAGATGATCGGCTATCCCATGGACGAGCTCACCTTCAAGAGATGTGACAAGTCCTTCAAGTTCGGAGGCGACGCCTCCGGCCACTCACGATGGATGGTGGAGCTCCCGGTCAAGATTTCTGGCCATCCTGGACGCATTCAAGCCTACATCATCTACGGGGCCACGCCCATGCTCTTCGGCAGACCTCTGTTGGAAGCACTTCAGGCCGAGATCAACTTCGGCGAGTCTAAGATGAGACTACTTCATCAAGAATGGCAGGACATCCCTCGTGGCAGACAGGGCGCTATGCTTCTTCGCTTGGCAGCTGACGTCAAGCATCCCCGTGACTTCAAAGAGCCCGTCTTCGATTTCCGCTGTGAAGATGACCACGGCAGCGGAACCAGCCTGCACGAGTTTCTTGATGACCTCAACGCCCACGAGCGCTACTTCGAGATGACCACCGAGGTCAAAACCTACTTCTCGCTCCACGACCATGAAGAGACCTTCGCCATTGTCGAGGAAGATGATCAACAGCCTCTTCTACCCGGCGAAGCTTGCAAGACCATCGAGCAACTTCAGAAGACAATGTCTTGGATTGAAGCCCAACTTCAGGAGACAGAGAAGCACGTACAGCAGGAGATCCTCCATGCTCGTGACCGCGGACAACATCGCCGCCGCAAGCTGATCTGGGAAGTCTATGCCGGTGAAGGCAAGATCACGAGCCTCCTGCGATCTCATGGCGACGTTGATGCCATGAGGTTCGGTTTGGAAGATGGTTGGGACTTCAACAAAGCCTCACACAGAAAGCAGTTGCTTCGACTGGCCGACGACTTGGAGCCGGATGAGATCTTCATGTCTCCCAAGTGCACCTTGTGGTCCAGGATGCAACAGATCAACGTCTCCAACGCTGAACAGGCCGCCGACTTGACTGAACGGCGCGAGATCGACGCCGAGACCCACCTCACTATGCGCAAGAAGCTCTACATGAAGCAAGTTCGACGAGGAGCACACGCTCACATCGAACATCCTCGCTTGAGCCTGGCCTGGGAGACCAAGCAGTTCAGGAACTTGCCTGGCCACAAGGCCATCTTCGACCAGTGCGCCTATGGAGCGACGATTCCTGATGACTACGGCATCGAACAGCCCATCTTGAAGACCACCCGCATCAACACCACCAAATGGGCGATGTTCGAGATCATGTCCAAGAGATGCGATGGTTCACATCAACATCAACGACTTGAAGGTCGCAACAGGTGCCATCGAGCTGAAAACTATCAAGATGAGATGGCAGCCCACTTGGTCAGAGCCCTCTTGTTGGATGAAGGCCTACATGAACAAGTATATGCAGTTTCTGAAGATGCCGCACCTCTTACAGGAGCACTTCGCAAGTTGGCCACCAACCATGGGCATGAGGCAGCTCGGATCGCACAGCGACTTCATCGCAACCTTGGCCACCCACGGAAAGAAGTCTTGCTCCATGCCCTGAGAAGTCGGAACTGCAGCCCAAAAGTGCTGGCAGCTGTTCAGGATTTAGAATGTCCTTTCTGCGAGATCCACTCCGTGAAGAAAGGCAATGCACCAGGACACCTTGATCGACCCACAGAGTTCAACAGCCAACTTCAAGCCGATGTCCTCTGGCTTGACCTGGACGAGGTTGGCATGGTGACAGAACCTGGTCGCAAGAAGAACAAAACCCGCAAGATCGCCATCCTGGTTATGGTTGATGTCGCCACCCGCTTTATGGCAGCTCGCACCATTGTGGACGAAAAAGGCCCATCACTGCAGAAAGCTTTGGAAAGAGCCTGGATCCAACATCATGGACCTCCAAAGCAGCTTTATGTGGATGAAGGCACTGGTTGGGCTTCTGACTCTACAATGCAGTGGTGCGAGTCCAACGACATCGAGATCCGCATCTCACCTGGTCAAGCTCACACCAGGACATCCATAGTGGAACGACGACACCAGATTGTGCGCAAAGCAGTTTCAATCTTCATGATGGAGAACAACCTCACAGGTTTGGATGGCGTGCACAGCGCACTATCTTGGGTGGTTCCAGCTCTCAACAGCAACAGCTTTGTCAACGGCTTCACGCCCACTCAGCTCGCTCTCGGTCGAGAACCTGCTCTTCCTGGACTGTTGACTGATGAACGCACAGGTCCATTGCAGTTGCAACTCACCGAGCAGGAGAAATTGCATCGAAAGCTCAACCTCAAGTTCGCCGCACAAAGTGCTTGTGGCAAGGCTGAGATTGACGTGAAACTTCGCCGAGCTCTACTCCGACGCTTCACTGGCAAGGACGAGGAGCTCCTTCCAGGCGAACGATGCTACTACTGGCGTGATGCTCCCGACAAGAACCACATCATCCGCTGGAGAGGACCTGCGGTAGTGGTTGCTGTGGAACGCAACCCGGACTCAGGCACCGTTAGTGTCTACTGGCTCGCTCACGGCACTGTGCTCCTTCGTGCTGGAGTTCAACACGTTCGCAAGATGGTCAATGATGGCGGACAGATCGGAGCAGTGCAACGAGCTCAACAAGCCCTGGACGGCCTGAGACAAAGGAGATCCGTTCGCATCGTGGATTTGCGAAAGGCCAACAAGCGATCGATAGATGAAGTTGACCCTGAGGTCAGTGACTATGAGCCTTCGCTTCCAGATCCTCATCATCCCGCTTCGTTGACTATGTCCTCGCCTGCTCTACCTGACGGAGTTCAACAAGCCTTCGACCGCTCAATGCAGGAGGCAGTTCAGTCGAGAGCAGAGGCATTGCCAGCAGCAGAACCTCCAGAAGCAGAACCTCCGGATGCTCAGTCAGAGCCACTGCAGCTGGAACCTCAGTTGGAGGAACGTCAACCCCATGAGCGACATCCAGAACTTCCTGAACTGGATGAAGATGACTTTGAGGAGCCTATGGGTGAACCTTCTCACCTCCAAACTCCAATGGCCAGGGCGGATCAACAAGACCCACGTCCCGATCCAGCAGATCTTCCTGTACCTGAAGATGATGATCTGAACTCTCCAAAGGCTGAACCAGCCGATGTGCCCGCACCTGAGGCATCATCTTCATCAGGTCCTATGACCGTTGATCCTCTCTATGCACCACCAGCTCGTGAGTCCTTTCAAGATCGACGCCGTCGCTTCGATCAGCAAGAGACGATCTGGACTCGCAAGAAAGCCCGGACAGATGATGGTGACGTGGACCTCAACCTCAACAGCTTTGACTTCAGCAAGTCCACACCTCTCCCGTCCGGATGGCACTATGATGAGAAGACCCACGAGTTCACCCTCGGCAAGACCGCAGATTGGTGGAGCTATGAGGACGGCTTCTTGGTCAGAAACCATGTTTGGGGAAGAAAGTCAACCTACAAGCCGGAGACCTTTCCCATTGACCCCTCCTACTTACAAACAACCACCGGCCTGACGCTCCAGCAAGGTTCACGGACTATCTATGTCAACTCCAATGAGCAGCAGCACTTCAGCGAAGCTTGGACAGGCAAGACCTTGTATCCCCTCACCGTCAGTGGTGCAGAGAAGACTGGTCTCTACTACATCGGCGACCTCTCCGACAAGCTCAGTCGCTGCAAGACGCTCAGAGGCCGTGGACACATTTGGCAAGCAGTCGGTGCCGCTAGCCCTAAGAAGAAGAACGTCAAGGAGAGCGCAGACCTCAACGAGAAGAAAATGTCCCTGGAAGACCGTTTGGCCTTCTTGGAGGGCAAGAAGAATGAGCTCTCCAGCATCTTCGAGAATGGAGTCTGGGAGATCGAACTCGATCCACAGTCTGTCGACCACAACAGGGTCATGCGCGCTCGCTTCGTTCTCAAGTGGGCAGCTGATGGGAAAGGTGGCCTCAAGGCCAAGGCAAGACTAGTCCTTCAGGGATTTGCTGATCCCGACCTACTGCAAGGTCAACTCGACACTTCATCGCCCACTTTGTCAAGGAGCTCTCGCCAGGTGATCATCGCCATTTCCGAGGTGCTTTCCTGGGAGCGCTGGACTGCCGACGTTGCAACGGCATTCCTTCAGGGTGATCCTCAGCAGAGGATCTTGTGGGCTCGGATCCCCAAGGACGCTTGCGAGTTGATCGGCGTTCCTCCGGGCACCCTCATGCGCTTGATCAAGCCCCTCTACGGACAGGCTGATGCTCCAAGGCAGTGGTTCGCAGTGGCGAGACGCCGTTTACTGCAGTTGGGATTCCAATCCCATCCTCTGGATCAGTGCCTCTACATGTTCTACGACGAGAACAAAGCCTTGATAGCTATGGTTGGCATCCACGTTGATGATCTATTTGGCTGTGGCCTAGCTTCATCGCCAACGTACCAGCAGCTCACCGACAGCCTCAAGACCTCCTTCAACTTCAAGCACTGGACCAAGGAAGGAGAACGACCTCTAGAGTTCTGCGGCTGTCAGCTGGCACGAACGGCCACCGAGTCAGTCATGACGCAGGCAGACTACCTCAAGGGCATCAAGCCCATGACCTACGCCGACAACGATCTTGAGCGAGATCTCAACTCTCGCGAGCAGAGCTCACTTCGAGCGCTACTTGGAGCACTTCAATGGCCGGCAACTCAGACCTCACCACACCTATGCGCCTCAGTGTCGCTTCTATGTGGAGAAGTCACTACGTCCACGGTTGGTGTTGCCCAGCAAGCAAACAAGACCCTCCGCTTCGCCAAGAACAACAACGACGCTGGTCTGATCTTCAGATCATTGGGAGGTTCGCTGGACAACCTGTGCATGGTGGCGATGAGTGATGCCGCCTGGGGTGTGAGGAGAAACAATGAGAGCCAAGGAGGCTACTTAGTCCTTCTTTGCAACAAGGCCGTGCTCGATGACGCCTCCGACCACGACTATATCATCCTGGATTGGAGGAGCTTTAAACTACCAAGGGTCAGCAGATCCTCGCTGAATGCCGAGAGTCAAGCTTGCTCAGCAGCCATGGACGCCTTGGAATACCTCCTCATCTTCTGGGAAGGATGCTTGAAGCACGACTTCCAGCTTCGACAGGTCAACGAGCTGAAGCCCTCTCTCTCCTCAGCTCTGGTGGTAGACGCCAAAGCACTCTACGACAGCCTCAAAGCCGAGACACCCAGTCTCCAAGGAGACAAGCGGACGAAGATCGAGGTCATGGTCACAAAGCAAAAGATGCTTTCCATGGACACGAAGCTGCGCTGGGTTAGCTCAGAGATCCAGCTAGCTGATGGAGTCACCAAGTCCTCAGCAAGGCAGCTGTTCGCCGACCGGTTGAGGAGTCATCAAATCTCCCTTCGGTCAGACATGACCTTCCAGGCCGCCAAGAAGAAAACGCTGGCTGAACGGCAGGCCAATGCTCGCAAACATGCGATCAGTCGATCAGGGAATCGACACAGCCTGGCCTACATGATCCTCACCTCGCAGATGATGATGGTGCAAGCCATACAGCCTAGCTTCGAGATGGCCCTGGACTTCGCTTTCTCTCCTGAGATGACCCTCACTCTCTTCATCCTACTGATGACCATGGTGGGATGGCACATGTGGGGAAGGGCTACAACGACGGCTCCGACGACATTGAGGACAATGACAACGACAGAGACCTGGACAATGACAACAGAGAGTCCAAGCTCTAGCACAAAAGAATGTGGCACCCAGGCGGAGACTGCCCTCGAGAAGAATGTGTTTGGCCTCCTCAAGATGGAGATCACACGACTTCAACAAGACCTACGAGATTCAGATGCCTACAACGCCCAGCTCAAGGACCAGCTCGACGCGCTGGAGGGCGAGAACAACGAATTGGAGAAGGAAGTGGACGACCTCACCCTGATGCGGGACTACTTGTCCGGTGACATCGGGGAGCTCGACGGCAAATACAAAGATGTGAGAATCAAATGGCAGACTGCCTATGACAAGCTGGAAGCCATCAAGTATGAGCTTGATCGCAACCCAGTGCCAAGGTCAGTGTGGACTACAAGAACGGGCAGCAAGTACCACGTCTACCCGGACTGCCAAGGCCTTTCTGGGGCCGATGCTGGCACGATGAGGCAGTATGACTACTGCGCCTTCTGCGCCCAGCAGGAGATGATGAAGTGGCGAGAGTTCTGACGAGCTTCTTGGCCACAACCACCGGTGTGATT